TCAAACAATATTTCTTTTCTATTCATAAGGTTTTTCCTGGCTAATTATTTGAGAAGTGGATGGCCTCCTCCTTCTTCCTAGTCTGTCTCAGTCTGTAAGCTGGGCTGATACCTGTGCACCATGTGCATCCTGCTGGGTTAGAAACACCAGTGGCTCAGCCTCGAAACTCACATCAACATGTCACCACAGTAGGACAAACCAACAGACAAGTTTGTCTCCCTGTTGGAAAACCATTTTTGAATTATCTTCAGTAAGATCTTACTTGCATGAGATAGTAATGATATTGTTCTATAATTTCCACAATCTGTGGGATCACCTTTCTTTGGAATGGATTTCTTCGTGATATTGTTCATGATATTGTTGGGTAATTTCCACATTATGTTGGATCCCTTTCTTTGGAAGGGCCTAAATATGGATCTTTTCCAGTCAGTTGGCCATGTAGCAGGTAGCTGTCTTCCAAACTTCTTGGCATAAACCCACTGAGCACCTCCAGCACTACATCCATTTGTTGAAATATCTCAATCGGTATTATGCCAATTACTGGAGTCTTGTTTTCCCCCAATGCCTTCAGCTTGTACTTTGTCCTTCAGTACCATTGGTTCTTGATCATATGCTGCTTCTTAAAATGGTTGAACATTGACAAATTCTTTTTGGTACAGTGACTGTGTATTCCTTCCATCATCAGTATTTTGCCCATTAAAAAAATAAAAAAAAAAAAACCTCACTGCCATCGAGTCAATTCAACTGATAATGATCCCTCCTTGGGTTTCTGAGGTGGTATCTCTATGGAAATTATAAAACAATATCATTAATATCGCATGCAATTAAGATCTTACTGAAGATAATTCAAAAACGTTTGCAGCAGTATATTGACAGAGAACTTCCAGAGGTGCAAGCCAGATTCAGAAGAGGATGTGCAACAAGGGATATCATAGCAGTTGTCAGATGGATCTTGACTCAAGGCAAAGAATACCAAAAAGATGTTTACTTGTGTTTTATTGACTATGCAAAGGCATTTGATTGTGTTGATCATGACAAATTATAGATAACATTGAGAAGAGTGGGAATTCCCTAACACTTGATTGTACTCATGAGGAACCTGTACCTCGACCAGGAAGCTGTCGTTGGAATGGAACAAGGGGACACTACATGGTTTAAAATCAAGAAGGGAGTGTGTCAGGGTTGTATCCTTTCCCCACACTTATTCAATCTATATGCTGAGCAAATAATCTGAGAAGCTGGAGTATATGAAGAAAAACGTGGCATCAGGATTGGCAGAAGAATCATTAACAACCTGAGATACGCTGACAATACAACTTTGCTTGACCTATTACAGCAGAGTAGAAATCTCTCAAAGAAAGAGTGAACTTTTGGGAGATGAGTACTTCACCTGGAAGGGACCTGAAGTCTTTCTTTTAACAAAGCACAAAACAGAAACATTTCCATGTAGTATCCCTGCTTGTAACAACGAATCTTATGCTTATATATATATATATATAAAACCCACAAAAACTCAATGCTATCAAATCAGATGCCCATACATACTACATACGAAACAAAATAATATCTGGCCCCAACAATATAGGGCTAAATGCAATATAAATGTGTCAATATCTGAATGTTTACTAAACAATGCTACCCAAGATTTACATTGAATGTGAAATATTTGATAAATATGGGGTGTTACAGCCTTATTGCCCCTGTGTGTTATAGTTAGCGTACTCTAACTGCTGCTAACTGAAAAGTTTGAGGTTCAAGTCCACCCAGAAGTGCCTTGGAAGAAAGGTCTGGAGATCTACTGAAAAATCAACCATTGAAAACCCTATGGAGTACAGTTCCACTCTGACACACTTGGAGTTGCCAGGTGTTAGAATCAACTCAGTAGCCACTGTTCTTTTGGACCTATTAAAGAAGATTGCATTTCAGCAATTTGATGCACTGTTTTCAAACCAAAGCAATAGCTAAAAAATTTGAGTTTTCAATGCAAAATTTTAGAAAGAATTGTTATGTTTTGTTAACATAGAGATAGGAGTTTTCCGTGGGGTAAAGAACTTTTTGCCCTTTCCACAAGCAAACCAGAGCCTCAGTGAGCTTTCAGCAAGTAGATGCTCCTGCAAGTTCAGAATATTTCCCTACAGTGATTTTTGTGCAGAAATTAATCTGAGTAATATTGGAGGTAGGAGACCTTGGGTAGTGCAAAAGATTAACTGTGCCTTGACTGCTAACAGAAAGGTTGGAGGTTTCCCATTCAATCAGAGGTCCCTTGGAAGAAGGGCTTGGTGATCTGCTTCTGAAAAATCAGCCACTGGAAACCCTATAGCACACAATCTACTCTGACACACGTTGGATTGTCATGAGTCTGAATCAACTCCATGGCAATTGACACCTTCCTCTGTAAATATTGTTGAATTACCCGACTCTTGAATTTGTAGGGAAGAGGTTTAAGATTACATACTACAATTTTAACTTTGTGCCTTCCTACCTCTTGACTCCCTAGCTTTCATGCAGAGGTTTGCTGCTGTGATGGCTACCACTTGGGTCCAAGAGGTTGGGAAAAGGGACTTACCATGGCTATCTAGGGAACCAGAAGGTGGCGGTTCAAACCCACCAGTCACTCCTCGGACGGAAGGTTGGACAATCTACTTCCATAGTGATACCTCCTTGGAATCCCAAGGAGGGGTCCCTGTGAGTCGAGTCTGACTGGAGGGCACATAACAACAACAACATGGCTATCTAGGGTTGACTATGCAAATTTAATAAAAAAATAAATAATTTTTGTGGAAGACAAGAAATGGAGCTAGGAAAATATATTTGTAGGACATAATGGAACAATGTTGGTTTTGAAATCATCGCAATCTGCAAATGGGTGAAGAATTGTATAAATTTCACCAACAAAGAATAAGATTATTCTATAGGAAGTAATTTGTAGGACTTTGCTTCTTAGTGCATTTTATTTAATTCTTCCTTCAATGTTTCTTTTAATAATCATTGCGTGCTTATCTGTAATTAAGAGTGTGAAGATTTCTGCTATTGGTTTATCTTCAAAGAAGGCAATGTTAATGAAATTGGTAGCAGTTTAAGACAAGTGAACAGAGATTTAAGGGGTCAGTGCATTACTAGGAAAGCAGAAGTGGGTGTAATCAGCATAAAAGTAGTTAAATTGTGAAACCATGCTAAGTGGAGGTGTAATGTAATAATATGTTGCACAAACAGAACGCCTTTGGTCTGTGCACCTCAAAGTACTTTGCAAACGTTAATTATGCATCACACTGTGAGGTAGAGAAGGAGGGCCAGCAGGGCTTGGACACTGCTGCCTAATCCAGCACTGAACTTTGGACTCCAGATTCTAGATGTAGTAGTCAACTCTCTGTTGTGTTTCTACAACCCTCTGTGGTTGAATCCACCCACGGGCTTTAGCCGTGTTGGGATCAAGGTCATGATCGAGGAATAAGGGTCCACAACGCAAAAGTGGTAATGAGGTCGTTCCTGCCCTCAGATCAAACTAGGTTGCCTAGTTTTCCCTCCTGAACTCACTTCCAGGATACCTCCCCGGCTGGCACCGAGGATGCATGGAATTGTTTGGAATTTGGGTGAAGGTTGGGCGTGGGCGTGAAGAGGCGCGGTGACCGAGCTGGGTGTCTGCCGGCTTCTCGCCGCCCTGAGGCGGCTGGGCTAGACTTGCTGTCCCCAGCCAGGAGCGCACGCCCGGGTAGGCAACAGCTTCCGTGCCGCGCGCCCGCCAGCGGCCACACACGCTCGCCGCCCGGTTTCCCTCTCTCCTTCCCTCTGCGCGCACACACACATACACACACTCACGCACAAGCACACACACGCGCGCACACACACATAGAACCCCTCTCGCGGCGCCAGGAGGGGCGGAGCAGAACTGGCGGGAGGAGGCAAGGAGGGAGGGAGGGAGCCAAAGGCGCGAAAACGGCGCGCAGGCGCGCCGCGCTCCCCGAGGCGGAGCGCGCGGGGGTGAAACTGACACTTTGGGCCAGTCTCTATGGGGCCGCTCGTGGCCGCACGTCACCGCGTTGCCGGCACGTCACGCCTGCTCGACGCTCCCGGTACAAAGTGTAAGTTTCAATTTTTTTCCCTGGCGCGGCTGCTCCCGGGGCCACGGAGAGGAGCGGGAGCAGAGTGGGGGTGCAGCGCTGTCTGGCCAGCGCGGCCGGGACTCCCCACCCCGCCATCCTCGCGTGAGTGCGGGGTCGGGGCGGCGGGGCCCTGAGCCTCGGCGCCCAGCATCTCCGCCCCCAGCCCCGCGCGCGAACGCCGACCAGGCAAGCCAGGTGCGGGGCGCCGGCCACCCCCGCGCTGCAGGCGGCGGGCGGGTGCGCGCGGGCTGAGGGCAGCTGGGGCTGGGGGACAGGAGAGGATGCCCTGGGGCGGGAACCCCGGGAAGATGGGGATGGGGGAGGGCGCGGAGCTGCAGGCGCCGCGGGAGGATGGAGTTGGGGGATGGGGCGGAGGGCAGGGCGAGCAGCTGGTCCTAGGGGGAGGGGGCACCCGGCGGTGCGCGGGCGCCTGGTGCGAGCGGCGGCTCTGGGGAGGGCCAGGGTCGGAGCTGGCCGCAGTGCGCGGGGGGCGGGCCAACGGCGGCTAGGGGGCAGCCCCGGCCGGACTGGTCCCTGGCGGGCCAGCCCCTCGGCCCTGCCCCCGCCTCGCCTGCGTGTGGGCGCCGCGCGCACTGCTCGGTGTCTCCTTGGGGCTCTTTCCTGGTGTGCTCTGTGTGCGCTGCACATGTGCAGTCGGTAAACCTTCCCCCACCCCGCACCCCCCACGCCGCCGCCGCCGCGCCTCATTGTAGACGCTGCAGTTGGTGGTGGGCTGCGGGGCTTGCCGCCGCTTCTCAGTGGGTGGGGGGTGGGCTGCTGGGGGAGGAAGCTGCTTTCCAGGTGACTTGACCTCGGCTGTAGGATGTGGGATGGGGGTTGGTGCGGGTGGGGAAGAGAACGCGATTGGGCGGGAGAGGGCCCGACAGGGGAGGGCGGGCAATGGGGCTCTTGCGGGACTCTGTTAGCTGCATGGGTGGGCGAGATTGGGGCTCGGGACTGTTGCAGGGTGGTCTCCGGGGTGAGGGCAGGCGGGGCAGCCGGGCCGGAGCTAGGCCCTTCAGGCCCCGGATAAGCATCGTCGAGTGCCCCTCGGCCACCTGGGGGGTACGGGGAAACAGGGAGTGGGTCGGGGGGCGCCTGTTGCCAGGCGGTGCACTAGGCGCCGGTGGTGGCGGGCAGCAGGGCTGCACAGCTGCCAGCGTCTCAGTGCTGGGCCCGAGCGCGCCGCCCGCGCTCCCGGCCCCGGCGGCCGGATTTGCTCCGGCCTGCAGCGAGCGCCTTCGGGAGGGTACGGGGAGGGGCTGACCCTTCCTTCGACCTGCTCCTTTCGGGAGCTCGGGGCCCGGGGCCGAGAACTGCCGGTTCCGGTGGCGGGCGGGGGAAGGGAGATTCCTCTCGTTGGAGCTGGCTCCTGAGGCCTACTGACAGGTCAGAGAGAGCCCGGACCCAGACAGACTGGGGGCGTGGGGTTTGGGATGGGGGCTTCAGAGCAGTTCTCTGGACCCTGACACTGGCTACAGTGACTCTGGAAGCTCACCTGTCAGAGTTAGCAGTTCACCGTCTGGCTTGGGTCAGCAAGCTGGAGATTGACCAGGGTGGTAGAACCCTTTTAGAGTTCTTTTGGGATGGCTTCCCAGCGTGCCTGTATGTCTGTGGTGGGATGTAAAGGAGACGTTAGGTGGATGTGTGGGATTGATTGTGCCTAGGTGAGTAAATGTGGGGTGTTGGTGATATATGTAGAGATGCATATGAAATGAATATACCCATTAGTCTAGTCATGCTGTAGATTATGCTTTAAAAATGTGAAGTTAGTACAGCCATATAGGTAAAGGAATTATCGTTATCCATTGTGTCTTTGTGTGAGTGAGAAAATTGGGGTGTTGTGGCAATGATTTTAGGTAATGGAATTCATGTATCCTAGTAGTTTATGGGTTTCTTTGCCAATTCATAATACATGTTCACTTGCTGAAATGATTTTTACAATAGAAAGTTTTTGCCAATTCCACTTTCAGAATTAAGCATGTACATTTGGGAAGGAAGGTTCTTGTTACCTGGAACCACAGTTATGGTAGTGGTGGGGGAAATGTTGGCTAAGTAAGATGTGACATACTATTAACTTTTTTAATTCTTAAGCATTTCTTCATCTTTTCTTCTTTCCAGAAAAATCATCGTTTCTTCTCTGGAGGGTGAACATTTATAGAATTGATTTCACGGATCTGGTAACATGGCAAAAGATGTAAGTATATTTGCTTCATGTTACACACAAATGTTTACTTAGCTTTTAATAGTGAGAAATTATGAAGCACCAAAATCATTGCAGTTTTCTCACTTTATTTCAGAATGACAACACAAATACAGTAGTGTTTATTTTTAAACTTCTGAAGCAAACGAAACAGGATAAAGGTGAAAAAGATCAAAGAAATCTAATAGCTTCATGGAGATGTGTGACTTGCTTTTCTGTGTTGTGTTTTTTGTAACCTTGAATGCCTGATGATAAATGTTAAGGATGTTTAAATGATAACAATTTCACTTTTTCTTAGAATTTTCAGATTTAAATTTATAACTTTGAGTATCTTTGTTAAAGGCCATTTCTTAATTAAAAGAGATGGAGAATGCACAGTACAGAGCATGTGGTGGGGCTCAGTCACTAGGTGCTGGCTCTGGACCCTTTTTCTGATTCCTGCAGCGAAGGGCCCCACTTACTGAGGACTGACTTCCACACAGGAGGTCTAGAGGTGGGGAACATTACTTGCCAAGTACAGAATGACCTTAAACTTGGGTTGTGAGCAGTGTAGGCCAGTACCCATTTCGTGTTGCATGTGGGAGGCTAAAACTTTGATTGATAAAATGGTAAGCACTTTCTTTGGCCACTTTTTTGGTCAGAAAAAATGAGCTTTGGTGAAATGTGCTGAAAAATGCTATAGGATATTTTTCTAGCTAAATTTTTTAACATCCTAAGAAACAGTCTTTTAGGTCTTAAAAACATCTGTTTAGTTGGTCAAGTAGCTCTTTACTGCACTTTGTAGTATCAGTTAAATTTACTAAAACACCAGCTATATCCCTTAGTGTTTCTTAGAATGCATTTCTTTGTATACATTAGTAAGAAGAGGCTATTATTTATTGCATAGTTAGAAATGCAGCTCGGACACAGTATGTATGTGCCCGAGACACAACTCTATGTATGTATTAAAAATACGCTCATATCTTTTGAGCCGAATAATGGGTATTATGCTTGTCCATATAAGAAACCTTGGTGGCACAATGGTTAAGTGCTCTGCTAACTGAAAGGTCGGCAGTCCGAGCCCACCAGCCACATTGTGGGAGAAAGAGTGGCATTCTGCTTTTGTAAAGATTATAGCCTTGGAAACTCTATGGGGCAGTTTTACTCTGTCCTGTAGGGTTGCTATGAGTCAGAATTGACTCCGTGACAAGTTTGTTTGTTTAAAATGCCTTTCCATCAGTTTAAAGGCTATAAGAATCTCAGAAAGGTCTTACTGAATGCCTGTAGTAACCCCAAACTCCCACTATTATGTATTCACTCATGTTAGACAGGATACCTGTCTTCATGCATTTGTGATTTAATTTTGTAGAGAAGATATATAAGTGTACACTCGGGCCCTTTGTGGGTTTTCTTTAACTTAAAGTTGTAATCTGCATGTTATAGAACATTAATTTGATCTCTAAGTATACTTATCAATGGTCATGTCCCATGTTTTTGTATACCCTAAAAATGCAGGGCATGTAGTATATGCTCAATAAAGAATTAGATTAATTATATACTCTTTAAATATGCTGATGCTGGACACTAATACCTTTGTTAGTGGACATTTCTGTGTGTTTCATGGTTTTAGGAAACAGTTCATTTTTATTAAACATACTTAGATACTTACTTGATGATGTAATAAATTTGGAGAGGGAGAGGCTTATTTTTGAGGCCATCATTGATTCTGTATTTATTTAATTTGGACCCTGCATGTGTCTATTCTATTGTTAGGTTTTAGGAGCTCTAAAGATAAGTAAGTCAAGGCCTCTGCTTTCTAGTTGTAGGGAGAGAGACTCAAAATACTATCATGTGATCACTGCTGGAGAAGCACTACCTGCAAAGTTCTGTGTCAGCCACAATGAGGAATGGTCAAGGGGCTAAGGTGGTGGTTGGGTAGTTTGCATTGAGTTCATTTAGGATTATCCATTGAAGTATGAATAGGTTATACAGTGGAGGATTTGGGGGAAAGTATTACAATGAGGATAACTAGGGTATTTCAGAAAGAGAAATAGCAGGAGGAGATGCAGAGATGTGAAGTAGCCTTCTCTTCTAAAAATGCACACAAGTCCAGTGTGACTGGAACTCAGTCTTCTGAGGGGAGTGATAGGAAGTCAGGCTGAAAATGCAGATTGTGGCCAAGGAGAATTTGGCCTTTATTCTGTAGTAGACATTTTTCTTCTTCGTTTTAAGTGGGGGTATGACATTTGAGTTTTGGAAAGATGACTTTGGCAGCAAATGTTGGAGGGGAAAATAGAGCAGTAGTTGAAAAATTTGTTTTAAGCAGTGGAAAGTGAGTTGAAATCTTATGTGCAAGAGAAAAGTCCATCAAAATAGGGGGAAGCTGAATTGCTCTGGTTGCCATGGGATGGAACTAGGGACTAGAGCACTGTGTCTCCCCACTGCACCTTTGCAGCACTCTGAGGGGTTCCATGGAATGTAACTAGAGAGAAGAGTGGGGCTGTGCAATGCCTGTGGAGACAGGTTAGAGCCAGAGTTAAGGCTTTGGTGGTGAAAATGAGATCCCTGGGTGGAGCAAATGATTAAGCTTTTGGCTGCTAACTGAAAGGTTGGTGGTTTGAACTCACCTTGAGGTGCCTTGGAAGAAAGATCTGGCAGTCTACTTCTGAAAGGTTACAGCCACTGAAAACCCTGTGGAACACAGGTCTATGCTGGAACACACAGGGTCATCATGAGTTGGAATCAACTCACTGGCAACTGGTTTGGACTTCTTTTTTGATCACAATAGAGATTGACTGGACAGGTTTTGGTGAGAATCATGAGAAGAAAATGACTTAGAAGCTTTCTAATTTCAGTGACTACATCAACTATGATTGCCAATGTAGGAGATACAGAAGGGACTAGCAGATTTGGGAGAGGGACGGGGGAAATGGCTTGATAGGAGTGAGATGCTCGACAGAAAGATTTAGGGTCAAGATTCAGGTTTTTGTTATCATTGAGTAGGTGATGACAATGGTGGGTATTGGTGAGTTTTAAATGGCAAGAAAAAAATAAAACAAGCCCACTGCTGTCAAGTTGATTCTGACACATAATGACCCAATAAGACAGAATAGAACACCTCCATTGGGTTTCTAAGGCTGTAAATCTTTACAGAAGTAGATTGCCTCATCTGTCTTCCATGGAGTGGCTGGTTGTTAGTGCCATCCTTTTGGTTAGCAGCTGAATGCTTTAACTACTGTACCTCCAGAGCTCCATTTAGATGGCAGAGGGACAGCTTACTGAGGGAGAAGCGAAGATGAGTACACAAGTACTGTCATTTAAGAACTGGGGTTGGAGAAGAAGCAGAGAGAGTGAAAACCAAAAAACCAAACCCATTGCTGTTGAGTTGATTCTGACTTTTGGTGACCCCATGCATTACAGACTAGAAGTGCTCTATAGGGTTTTCTTGGCTGTAATCTTAATGGAAGCACATTGCCAGACCTTTCTTCTGCAGCCCTGCTGGGTAGATTCAAACCACCAAACTTCAGGTTAGTTAAGCACAAACTATTTGTGCCACCTAAGGAGTAGGAGCTAACTCTAGCCATGTTAACAATTCTACTTTGAGCAAGGGAAACTCACTGCCATTGAGTTGATGGTATCTCTACTGAGGTCACTTGCCCAATCTTCCTTCCTAGGAGTGGCTGGTGAGTTTGAACCATCAGCCTTCTGGTTAGCAGTCAGATGATGCCTTAGGAACTATGCCACCGGACCAAATTAGGACTAGTTCTTTAAAGCTGTTTGAGAGATTTTTAGAAGCAAAGGGCTGTTTCTAGGCTACTTTTTGGTTAACTATGTCTTTTTGATCTAAGGGATATAATATGTGGTCTTCTGGGGTAAAAAAAAAAAGCAAAAAACAAAACCCAAAGAAACCCAAACTGGGCTTTTTATTCATCCTTTTTTGAACTCTTTTTAAGATCTCTCTCAGTTTGAAATGTTACATGAGCCATATTGGTTTATTTCATGTGAGGATGAAAATTCTGCCTTTTGTCTATCTCAGTTATTCTTTGTTGTTGTTGTTATGTGCTGTTGAGTTGGACCCGACTCATAGTGACCCCTCTTTGGGCTTCCGAGGCAGTATCACTATGGAAGTAGATTGCCCCATCTTCCTTCTGAGGAGTGGCTGGTGGGTTTGAACCGCCAGCCTTCTGGTTAGCAGTCAAGTGCTTGTAAATAAAGTACAAACTTAAAACACAAAACAAAACTATAGCATTCATTTTATTTTGTTTGTGTATTTGTTTCTGTAGAATTTATTGAGTACTTGGCAGAGATGCCTTTTAAGAAAGAAATCTATTTCCGAAAGGTCACAGCCATTGCAAACCTATGGAGCATAGTTCTTCTCTGACACATGTAAGGTCGCCAAGAGTCAGAGTTGACTTAGGCAAATGGTTTGGTTTTTGGTTTTGTGTGCCAATTAGGGTATACAGTGGTGATTAGATGTAGCCTAATCTGGCTCTCGTGAAGCTTACAGTCTTGTGGAAAAGTACTCACCCAAATGGGTATATAACTGTAAAATGTGTTGAGACCACATAGGAAAAGAACCAGGTGCTGAGGAGGTTGGGGATGTGACAGGGCATTCTTAGCCTAGGTAGGTAGAGAGGGCCTTTTGTGAAGAAGTGACATTTTAACTGAATTCTGAAAGACGAAGCAGAGGTAGTGTGTGTATGAAGACCTTGAAATAGGGCATGAATTTGATTTAGGTTGAAAGTTGTAGGCTAGGGTTTATATGAGCTCTGGCATTTAATTTAGATTATAAATTTTATTTTTTTTTTTCTGTTTTCAAAATACAGTAGGTGCTTCTGGAATAAATTAAATACTTGTGTATAAAAATACATTTTATATATCAGTCATTTTATTTCTGCTTAGCACTGTCAGAGACTGACTAGAAGGTTAAAGTGGAGGCTGCTTAGTTAATCCATAATACTCAGTTCTCCTCTCAGTATATTTGATTCCCTATTTTCA